ACTACAAAAGTAGTAGAGCTAATATTATATTTAATGGAAAGACTGAATGCTTCCCCTCTAAGATCATGAAGGAGGCTCTCACCACATCCATCCAACATTAAACTAAAGGTTCTAGGCCAGGGTAATTAGGCAATTCAAAAAAATTAAAAGGTATCCAGATTGAGCCGAAAGAAATAAAACTGTATCTATTCACAGATAAGATGATCTTAAAACTGTTTTTATTCATAGATAACATGATTTTATAGGTAGAAAATCCTAAGGGGTCTACCCAGAAAAAAATAAAAAGAAAAGAAGAAAATAAACTTATCAGAACTAGTAAGTTCAGCAAGGCCACTAAATAGAAGAGCAATACACAAAAATCAATTGTATTTCTATATATTAACAGTGAACAGGAACGATCCAAGATGGCTGATCGCTAACATCTCGGGATTGCAGCTCCCAGTGAAAGCGCAGAGAACGAGAGGACGCCACACTTTCAGACAAATTGCCACACTTTCAGACAAATTTTGGATGCTCATGGAGCAGAAGATTCCCAGTGGAGGAGCTGCACAGGTCGCCAGCGCAACTCTTATGGCCGGCGCAGTGGTTTCGCCAGGCACCTCGGCATGGCAGCTCTCGTGCAGAGTAAACAGGACTGGTTCCCCTTCTGACTGAGGTTTGGAGGAGCCACACGGGTTGCCACTGAGACTCTTGTGGCCGGCACAGCAGCTCTTGGTGCAGAGTAAACGGGACTGGTTCCCCTGCTGACCTAGGTCTGGAGCTCCGGGAAGGCAGAGTCACCTATTACGGTCTCAAGAAGGAAGCCAGACTGGAGATTCCCAGGCAGAAAAGCACCATCAGTCTTAACACCGCTGTTTTGGCCGGTGCAGTGGGTTGCTCATATTTCAGCCCTGGGAATTAACAACTTGGATGTCCACTCAGAGACCTAATTTGAAAGTTGGTAATTACAAAGACGACAGGTGGATAAATTTACAATGATGGGAAGAAACCAGCGTAAAAAGGCTTAGAATACTCAAAATCAGAATGCCTCTCCCTCTAAAGAGGATCACAGTTCCTCATCAACAAGGGAACAAGACTTGATGGAGAACGAGCACATCCCATTAACAGAATCAGGCTTCAGAAGATGGATAATAAGAAACTTCTGTGAGTTAAAAGAACATGTTGTAGCCCAATGTAAAGAAACTAAGCACTTTGAAAAAAGGTTTGAGGAAATCCTAATGAGAACAGACAACTTAGAGAGAAATATAAGTGAATTAATGGAACTGAAGAATACAATATGGGAACTCTGAGAAGTATGCACAGGTTTAAACACTCAAATTGTTCAAGCAGAAGAAAGGATATCAGAGGTCAAAGTCCAACTTAATGAAATAAAATGAGAAGACAAGATTAGAGAAAAAAGGCTAAAAAGGAATGAGCAAAGTCTCCAAGAAATATGGGACTTTGAAAAGACCAAATTTACGTTTGATAGGTGTACCTGAATGCGACGGAGAGAATGAATCCAAGATGGAAAATATTCTTCAGGATATTATTAAGGAAAATTTTCCTAAACTAGCAAAGCAGGACAATATTCAACCCCAAGTAATACAGAGAACGCCACAAAGATATTCCTCAAGAAGAGCAACCCCAAGGCACATAATCATTAGATTCACCAGGGTTGAAATGAAGGAGAAAATACTAAGGGCAGCCAGAGAGAAAGGTCAGGTTACCCACAAAGGGAAGCCTATCAGACTTATAGCAGATCTCTCAGCAGAAACTCTACAAGCCAGAAGAGAGTGGGGGCCAATATTCAACATTCTTAAAGAACAGAACTTTCAGCCCAGAATTTCATATCCAGCCAAACTAAGCTTCACAAGTGAAGGAAAAATAAAATATTGTATGAACAAGCAAGTACAATAAAAAGAGATTTTATTACCACCAGGCCTGCTTTACAAGAGCTTCTGAAAGAAGCATTACACATAGAAAGAAACAACCAGTATTAGCCTTTCTAAAAATATACCAAAAAGTTAAGAGCATCAACATAAAGAAGAATTTACATCAACGAATGGATAAAACATCCAGTTAACATCAAATGGCAGTAATCCTAAATTTAAATCAACTAAATCCCCCAATCAAAAGATACAGCCAAAACCCAACGGCATGTTACATCCAGACCCATTTCACATGCAAGGAAACACAAAGACTCAAAACAAAGGGATGGAGAAAGATTTACCAACCAAATGGAGAGCAAAAATAAATAAATAAATAACTAAAAAGCAGGAGTTGCAATTCTCATATCTGATAAAAATAGATTTTAAAGCAACAAAGATATAGTGGTAAAAGGATCAATGCAACAACAAGAGCTAACGATCCTAACACCCAGATACATAGAGACTTAGACTCAATGAGACAGAAAATTAATAAGGATATCAAGGACTCAAACTCAGATCCGGAACAAGTAAACTTAATAAATATTTATAGAGCCCTCCACTTTAAATACACAAAATATACATTCTTGTCAATACCACATCACACCTACTCATAGGTTTAAATGAAACATTGATTGGCCATTATTAATACCCATTTTTTTAAGAATAAAGCAACATTTCCATTCTCTCTCCCTCTTTTTCTTCCTCTCCTTCACTCCTTTTTTTTCTTTCCTTCTCTCAAAAAAAGAAAAAAAAAAGAAATCAACTTGTAGATCTCTAGATCCAGGTCGGCAATGTCTCTCTCATTGCCTGATTTCCTTCCTTCCCTTCTCTCTCTCCCTCCTCCCTTCCTCCCTTCCTGCCTTCCTCCCTTCCAAAAAAAAAACAACTGAACAATCCAAAACATTTTTAAATTTTTCATTCACAATGGCATTGAAAAGAATAAAATACTTAAGAATAAGTGCTTTAAAAAGACCTAAACTTCCTCACTAATAATTACAGAAGATGCTTAATATCATCAGTCACTAGGGAAATACAAATTAAAACCTAGTAAGATACCATTACGCATTAGAATGCCCTCTCCCCCACCACAAAAAAAAGATGCTGAAGATGTTGAACAACTCAATGTCCATAGGAATGTTATTTGTAATAACTAGAAAGAACCCAAATGTCCACCAACAGGTGAATGGATAAACAAACTGTGGTATGTCTAAACAATGTAATACCACTCAGAAATAAAATGAATAAACTACAGTAAGCCTTCACTTAACATGGTCAACACGTTCTTGGAAACTGACTTTAATGAAACAGCATTACAAGTTCCATGCCATTTCACTAAATGCTGATGGAGAAAAAATAATTGGGTGTGTTATAAGTCCATTTGTTTAAAGTCACAGTTTCCAAAAGCCTATCTACGATGTGCTGAGTGAGGAATTGCTGTACATTACAGCATGGCTCGGCCGAGTGCGGTGGCTCATGTCTGTAATCCCCGCACTTTGGGAGGCTGAGGTGGGCGGATTACTTGAGGTCATTCTACCATAAAGACACATGCAGGTGTATGCTCACTGCAGCACTATTCACAGTATCAAAGACACTGAATTAACCTAAATGCCTGTCAATGGCACACTGATTAACACAAGTGTGGTATACATACTCCAATGAATATTATGTAGCCATAAAAATGCATGAGATCATGTTCTTTGCAGCAACATGGATGGAGCTGGAAGCCATTATCCTATGCAAACTAATCCAGGAACAGAAAAACAAATACTGCATATTCTCACTTATAAGTGGGAGCTAAACAATGAGAACACATGGACACAAAGAGGGGAACAACAGACACCAGGGATTACTCGAGGGTGGAGAGTGGGTGGAGGGAAAGGATCAGAAAAATTACCTATTGGGTACTATGCTGATTACCTGGGTGACAGAACAATCTGTACACCAAACCTCCATCACACACAGTTTACCTATATGACAAACCTGCACATGTATCCCTGAACCTAAATAAAAGCTTTTTTAAAAAGAGCGTGCCCACTTAAATAAATCTACCCTAGAGACATAACTGTACATTTATGAAATAGCATAAGCTCATTATTTATTGTACATAATTAACGATAACATCCATCAATAAGAGGCTGGGTTAACAAATACACAATGAAGCATTTGCTATGTATAAAAAAGAATGAGAAAATCTCACGTGTAGATAGATAGGGAATAATCCCCATACCTACTATTCTATGCATGCAGGACATATTTTTTAAGTAATAAAAATAAGGTGCAAAAGAGTGTATACAACATACTACCTTTTATGCAGGATGGGGAGAGCATAAGAACCTACATACTCAGTTGCTTACATTTGCAAAAATAAAATAGCAACAGAAAAAATAAGCCAGAAAATAAAAACGACTACCAATCAGGAAAACATCTTAAAGGTAACCGAATGGCAGGAAGGCATTGCTGAGCTACATTTTTATGAAGAAAAAACAATTCCCAAAAGTGAAAACAAATATAATTGTATGCTGAATTGGTGACAGAAGCTTTAAGGCACAGTATTTTGACTATATATCCCTAGTGAGATTAGTCAATGTCAAAAATAACTGACAGGAAATCTAGAAATTTTTATTAGAGTTGTTCATAGTAATGTAAATATTGCTGTTCTGAAACTATTTTACGTATGTTTAAGGTCAAAGCTAATAGGCAATTATGCTGACATTGCTAGGAATGAAGACTTTCTACAAGCAAGTGCAAGGATAAGAAAAAGAAATTTAAAATGAGAAAAATAGCAACATAAATTCACGATCTTTAAATATATATATTTCCTAATTGTTTGTAAAAGGAAATAATGGTATCACAGTAGCTATAAGCACCTCTAATGGCCTGGTTCTGGTCTTAATATACCTTTCCCTATTAGAAGTAACCAGAATCTTTGGAAAAATAGGCCTGCTCCAGGCTATTTATAAAATAAGCCTGGGACATACTGAGTCAAAAAGAAAAAAAATTTTGAACACTAATGAGACAATGAAACCACCTTAAAAGAACCAAAATTTTAAAAAATACTATTCCCTATATCCCAAAGAAAACACTGATTCTCACCATATCTATACCAAAAAGGCTGCTGTCATCCCAGATATCTGCTGAAACTGCTTCACCAATAAGTGTCATGTCCACTGCAAGCAATTCCAGAACTCTTATTATCATTTGTCTGCTACCTAGGAATACAAACAGAAAAAAGTAAAGGAGAAAAAGTTACTTAACTTTAAAATAATCAGCTGAATACCATTTTACTCAATTTTCTAGTTAGTCATTCTCCAAAATTTTTTTTTTCTAATGTTCTTAGAACTATAGGGAAATCACAATCGACATCCACACTTAAGACTTCTGTTCCAGTCACAATACTACTTTGCTATATAAAAAATCAAATACATCTATAATTGGGAAAGATATTGAAAGTAGCAATAATCTAACAACAAGTATTGTGAGATAGATTAAAATGTTTTTTCAAATCCAGAGACCATCTGTGTTACATGTAGTATGTGACAAAGCACCAGAAAAGTTAAGAAAAAGTATTCCAACAATTTCTACTTAGTACCAAAGGCTTGAGCCTTCTCATAAATTAATATTTTCCCACATAGGAGTTGCCTGGGAAGCTAAGCTTGGACTGGAGCAACTAAAGGAACAAATGAACATGCTGGCACTTGCTAAAGAAGCTTCAAGAAACTCTATTTGTACTCACCTTAAACTCCAAAAACTTACCAAAGTCACTCCCACCAAAGCAACCTCGTTTCTCCACAGATAGAATAACAAAGACTCCACTTCGATTATCCTATGTGAGATGAACATTCACACAAGACTTTCCCGCCCCACATCCCAAAGCTTAACTTCGAATGAATCAAAGTAAAACAAACTACCAGAGTGGAAGGATCTAGATTAATTTTTTCACTAAAACAGCTGGAGCAAATTCTCTTAGAAATTTCTTGGAGACTGAACAGTTACAAATCATGCCATAATTTACCACAAAAGGGCAGGAGAACATTTAGAAGTTTTTATGTTCCAAGACATAGCTTATAATTATAAATCTGACTTTTTAAAGCAAATTAAGAAAAGGTTAAATGCAGAATCATTAAAGTCTAAAACTGTTCTTCTCAGCATACCAGGCAAATAAACATATGTACTGTATGATGCCAAAGTTCAGATCTTCCTTCATTTCACATTATTATTATATGAATTAATATAGAGTCCCAACTAGTAGAAGCACTTACTCACTGAGTAAAATGTATGGGTATACAGTTTCCCTCAGGATAAAAACATTTTAAATGCTTTCCAAATATACACCTTCCTACTTCTTTCTCCCCCATCAACTCCAGGTAGCAAAAAATAGCCACAGGACTCAAAGAACCATTCATTAACTTGGAATGTATTTCTTTACTTTGCCAGTATAAACTTAAAAGGGCAAAACTTGCTTATATTTATATCTTGACAAGTTTATCAAATGCTGAAAATGTACAGATTTTGAGAATAAAAATCATTACTGCTTTCTAAAACTTTCTTAACCTTGCAAAATGCTAAAGTATTTAAGATCATGGACTTTAGATTCAGAATTGTGGGTCAAGTCCCTGCTCTTAGCTGCTTGACTTCAGGCAAGTTTCTAAACCACTCTAAAACTCAGCTTCGTCATTTGTAAAAATGGAGATAAAATTAGTAACTACCACTATTGGAGGGAAAAAATGGGTTGATATGAGGAATACACGAAATAACGCACACAAAACCACGTATGACAGTAGAACCAGTAGGGACTAAATACATGATACCTGTTGTTTTATGACTAGACTCAGTAGGCATCCGCCATGTTATTGCTGTTACCATTGTTCAGTAAAATTACAACTAAATACCAGTGTATATCTCAGTAAACCTCTTCAAATTTTCCTAGCACATCTGAACAAAAAATGTAATCTCAAAATATTTCTCGATTTTTAAAGAAAAATTACTACAAAGGTAAGAATTCAGTTTTGAAGTTTTGTTTTTAACATGTTAAGTGGCTGAAGGAGTCAGAAATGATTGAGAAGAGTGAACAACTGATAGCTCTTCCAAAAATTTCCAAAGGGAAAAGGCCAGAGGCCAAAGGTTTTTATTCTGGCCTATTCATGCCAGTCCAGCTTTTATAACTTCTTCCAGTTTCTCTATGTTGTCAGTGCTCAAATTTAAAATAGCCATACAATCCAAAAAGAAAAAAGAGAAAAAATAAGATGACAGCAAGAACGCAAAAAATGGATAGATAAATTCTACAAATAATAATACGTGTGAAAGTCTATGCCAATAAAAACCCATAAAATGGAAGGACTAGCTGAACAGCCCTCCATGCCATCCATATTTAACTTAAAAATCATAAAGACCTTATGTTTTTAGAAATTTGTATCCCAAAAAATAAGTAAATATAGATTTCAAAGGCCCTAACATAGAAGAGAAGGAAAATCCTAGAAAGAAATACAAAACAAATACAAATTATATTAGAATTATGATTTCAAAAAACAACTAACCTGTTCTTAAGAGAGGAACAGCTGATTCCAGAATGGAGACACAAAACTGGGGAAGACTGAGCTGCTGGAATTGTAGTTCCAATGTGTCTTCAGTTTCCAGCTCTGGCAGATCTATGTGTCCCACATCCAAAGGTGAATGAACGGATATCCTAGAGTTAACGTGAGCATGACTACTACTTCCACTGCAAAAGAAACAAATGATAAACCTTGTATATAGAACGTCCCCAAAGAGATTTACTGGATATCTGCTGCCTGGCATATTAGAAGCCTCATACAAGTCACAACTCTATTGCTTCATTCAACAACTCTTCTGAGCCCTGGAGTTGGAGACTGCAGTGAACTGAGATCACACCACTGCACTCCAGCCTGGGTTACAGAGCAAGATTCTATCTCAAAAAAAAAGAGGGAGAACTCAAAATTGCAAATGAAGCCAAAAATGCATGTATATTTTGCTTTTCAGGCTGATATCTCAAAACACGTCAACATTCCTATAGTAGCAATCAATATTAGTACTGATAACCCACTCATTTCTAAAAGAAATCAGATTAATAGGAAGGCTCTTTTGTAATCAACTTGTATAGACAAAACCGATAGTTCATACAGTTTCCTAGATTTTCTGAGTTTCACCAACCGTTCTAAGTAAGCCAGTGTTAGCAAATGAAGGATGCTTCCAGAAAAACCTCATGGGAAACATGTTACTTAGTTTACTACATTCAACATCAGTGTAATGACTTCAAAAATGCACCCCAAAAATGGAACATCCCATCATCCTTGGCTTTCTTCATTAAAAAATTCCCACCCTGGATGTAAAGAGGTAGAGAAAGGATTTAAAAACTGTAGAAAAGCTAGAGCCTCACATTTGCAAAGATCCTCAAAACTTTTGATTTTTGAGGTGATCCACAATTGAAGCTGAATCATAAGAGATATATTAATGCTATGGAACATTTAAATCTGCCCAAATTATATACAAACATTGTCATTTCTTCAATTTCAAGCACTCCAAAATATGGAAACAACTCGGGGTTCTCCATAATTCTGAAAGGCCACATGAGGAAGCTGTTCACTCAGGAGTGAAAACTTAATAAGCATGCAGCACACAAGAGAATGAGGCAGAAAGGCTTCATGACCGATCAACCAACTACAATATAAGAACTAACAGCATAGACTCTCCTAGCATATTATTTAACCTTAGCTCTGCTCTTTACCAACTGTCATGCTCTTAACCTCTCTAAACCTAAACCCCAGATTTTTCTTTAAAACGAGGATGATAATAATGATAGCAATCCTATCATATAATTCTAATCCTATTCTAGGACAAGGAGACAAAGCACGTAAAGCACAGGGCGTAAAACCATGCACACAGCAAGCATGAATTGGTATTAGCTTGTAACAGCAGTAACAATATTGCAAGAAAATAATCAAGCCAACAGACAAATCCTCATCTTACTGAATATTTTTTAGAATGACACTAAAGAAGAGGCTAATATGTTTTTAACATGTTTGCAGCTGAAGGATAAAGTAAATACAAATACCACACCAATCCTTTTAAGCAAAGTTGGTGTATGAAAATCTGGGGGCCAGGCACTGGGGGCCAAGCATGGTGACTCATGTCTGTAATCTCAGCACTTTGGAAGGCCAAGATGGGAAGATCACTTGAGCCCAGAAGTTCGAGACCAGCCTGAGCAACACAGTGAGACCCCATCTCTACAAAAAATAAAAGGCTTAGCCAGCCAGGCACAGTGGCTCACGTCTGTAATCCCAGCACTCTGGGAGGCCGAGATGGGCGGATCATGAGGTCAAGAGATCGAGACCATCCTGGCCAACATGGTGAAACCCCATCTCTACTAAAAAATACAAAAATTAGCTGGGTGTGCTGGTGCATACCTGTAGTCCCAGCCACTCAGGAGGCTGAGGCAGGAGAATCACTTGAACCTGAGAGGTGGGGGTTGCAGTGAGCCGAGATCGAGCCACTGCACTCCAACCTGGCACGTGGTGACAGGGCGAGAGTCTGTCTCAAAAAAAAAAAAAAAAAAAAAAAGGCTTAGCCAGGGTGTGGTAGTACACAACTGGGATCCCAGATACTTGGGAGGCTGAGGCGGGAGGATCACTTAAGCCCAGAAATCAAGGCTATAATCATGCCTCTGCCCTCCAGTCTAGGCAAAAGAGTGAGATCTTGTCTCCAAAAAAAAAAAAAAAGGAAAAAAAACTGTATTTACACAAACAAATAAAATTCCACAAACTGTTCAACTTGAAGGAGTCTTTATTTCATAAAAATATTCTCCAACCATTCCTTTTAACAGTAAACACTTATGCATTTGTTATAAGACTTACAAAAATATGTTTAAAATACTATCAAAAATGTATCTATCATTTAAAGCTATGCTTTTACACTAGATCGTATTCTATTTGTGGCTGGTAAAAACAACTTAGCTGGTCAGAATACTTTCTTTTTTAATGAAATACAAACAGAAAATATAGTTTGGTGTTTCTAACATGGAATCAGAATACTATTTTGTGGGACACATACACAAACACACACACACGCACACACGCACACACACACATATATATACATAAACAAGAGTATATGTTCATGTACTGAGCACTGAGTTGCGATGTAATATTTATGTGTCCTTACTGTGGATCATGGTCAAAAAAAGTATGAGGCCAGGTTTTAACATAAGGCCTATACCTGTGTTAATGTTTCCAAAAAAAAAAGACAGAAAAATAATTATCTCCCTCTGACATTAACACACACAAGTTAACTGGCACTTCTCATTTCCCCGGAGACACTGCTAGCAGTCACCTCGAGGACACTGCATCCCAATCCTGGCCATCTCCTCTGGGTCGCTGGCCTGTGCGCCCAACCACTGAAGGCCGAGGGCTGCTGCTTCCTGGGGAAGGATTCTGGGAATGATGAGTACCTCTTGCTTCATGACAGTAAGATAAAGAAGAATTTTGGGAAACTGTGTCTGAGGAAATAGAAAAAGAATAAAATTATCCCTAGTAGAAATCAATTTCTGACTATGTAGTATTTACGTATCATTCTTCCAAAAATATTAACAAAATTAAGAAAGTAGGAATCCTTCTATGGGGTAAAAATAAAAGCAAAGATCAAACTTTTCTATAAGTATTCATTTAGCACATGTAGATTTATGTCTAACTGACCTGATCACATGGGACCCTCTAGCTAATGGTATTCACTAACACCATCAGTGACTACCGAAGCAGGAAAACACGGTATCATGCATTCCTCTGCTTCAAACTCCCCAAGAATGGCTACCTCATACTGTAGCCAAAAATTAATTCAAAATGGATCAACAACCTAAAGAGAAAAGCTAAAGTCATAAAGCTCTTAGGAAAAAAAAAAAAAAAACAAGTATAAATCTTCACAATCTTGAATTTGACAATGAATTGTTAAATATTTCATCGAAAGCACAAACAACCAAAGAACACACAGATAAATGTAACTTCATCAAAATTTAAAACTTCAGTAAATCAAGGAACATTACAAGAAGGTGTTAAGATAACTTACAGAGTGGAAGAAAATACTGGCAAACCATATATCTGATAAGGGTTTAATTTTCAGAATACATAAGCAACCTAAAACTCAACAATAAAGAAAACCGTTCTTGGCCAATTTTTTAAATAGGCCAAGAAACTTAATAAATATTTCTCCAAAGAAGATGTATGAACAAACAATAAGCACATGAGAAGTCATCAGAGATTCACTGGTCATTAATCATTAGGTCTTTAGAGAAACGCAAATCAAAACCATAATGAGATACCACTTCACATCTACTAGGATGACTATGATTATTTTTAAAAAAGAAAAAAAAATGAACAGATTAGAGATGATGTGGAAAAACTGGAAGCTTCATATATTGCTGATGGAAACGTAAATGGTACAGCTGCCGTGTAAAATACTTTGGCGATTCTTCAAAAAGCTAAAGATAGAGTTTCCATATGACGCAGTAATTTCACTCCTAAGTATTACCCAAAAGAAGTGAAACCAGGCACTGAGCAGATACTTGCATGCCAATCTTCACTGAAGCACTATTCACAACAACTAAATGTGGATACAACCCACATGTCCATCAACAAATGCATAGATAAATAAAATGCGGGCTATACATGCAATGGAATATCATTCGGCCATAAAAAGAATAAAGTTCTGATACAGGCTACAATGGGGATGAAGCTTGAAAACATTACAAATAAACCAGACACAAAAGGGCAAATATTGTATGATTCCACTTAGATGAGGTACCAGGAAAAGACAAAAATCAGAGACGGAAAGTAAATTAGAGGTTACCAGAAGCTTTGCGGAAAGAAAAAATGAGGAATCATTGCTTAATGATTAGAGTTTCTGTTTAAGATAATGAAGAGGTTTAGAAACAGTGGTGATGGTTGCATAAAAATGTGAATGTAATTAATGCCACATATTGTACACTTAAAAATGTTTATAATGGCATCTTTTATATTATAAATATTTTACCCCAGTAAAAAAAAAGTATTAGGTAATAAAAGCATTTACAGTCAGAGAGAGGGGAAAACTAAATAAACTCTCTAAGAGCTTCTCACCACACTTCAAAGAAAATACAAAATCCTTACAAAGATCTGCAAGCCCCAATATACTCTGGCCCCTCACTACCTCTCTGATCTCACCTCATTCTCCTCTCCTGCCCAGCTCACTGCACTCCACTGTCCTGGGCTTTATTTCAGCTGCTCGAGGACATCACCCTCAGTGCTACCTGGAGGCCTGACCTTCCCTGGGAACACTCTTCTTGCATCTCTTCAAGTGGACAGTTCCTTGTCACCCTTCAGGTCACCTCCTCTGAGAGGCTTTCCCTGACTATCCTAAATGAAGCTATGTTTACCCAGTCACGTTCTGTCACATCACCCTTTTTATTTCCTTCAAGTGCTTCTCCTTCTTTCAAGCAAACTTGATTATTTGTTTAACATATAAGCTCCTAAGGGCTTGGATCTTACTCATCTGGTCAGTGTTATACTTCCCTAGAGGCTAGAATATCAGGGGCATATAGCAGGTAATAAATACATATTATTAAATACATTAATAATTCTTCAGAGATATCAATGATTTTTAATCAACATTATAACTCTTTTTCTGTTGAGGTATGGGGTACCCAAAAGCTATTATCAATCATTGGCATAATACCATGCCCTCTAATATCTAGAATAAAACCAAAGTAAAACATAAATATTCAAGTAGCACAGGATCAGTGAAAATCCCAATGAAATAGGGATAAACTAGGAAACATGACAAATGGCTATAATATTTGACTTTCAATGTAGATTGTACAAGCACACAAAAATCCTAAATTGTAGATACTGTTTTGTCAAAGCGGGTCTGGTACTCTATTTGGGCATTAGGTGGCGCTTTTTCTCTGAAAAGTCTGGCATTATAACACTGACTATATCCCATGTTGCATAAAAACACTTTTCATAAAACTCAGTTCAATATTTTTCAAACTAAACAATTTATTAACACTATATGTAACTCGCTCAAATGCCCAGAGTCCTATGTGAATAGCCACACCCAGAATCCCAACAACACTGTTCATATAGAATCTCTGCAAGTCTGGCAGAAAAGAAAAACACCTTGTAAATATCTCTTATTAAAAAAAAAAAAAAAAAAAAGCTCAAGAGATCATGGCGGTTTCTGTCCTTCATGCAGTCTGTAAAGATAATCATTTGAATACAGTTAGGAATGGGGAGTTTATATTGTGAAATGCATACACGATAAACCCTAACAGTAACTATAATGGAAAGCTCCCAGAAGAATCTACAAATTACACCAGTGGCTACTGCACGGATAAATACCCTGTTTGTTGGAGAAAAAACCTGGATCTCGGTGAAAGTGAAGTCTGCTTCTTAAATATGTGCACAGCTGCTGCAGGCAGGACACTGACTGTAATGCGAGGCGATGTTTCCCATCTCCTCCAAAGGCCAGTTTCAACAGAGATAAAAGGCTCTGAAATACAGAAGAGCAGTGAAAATGATTAAGGGAACAAAGTGCTCAACTTCAGAGAAGAAAGTGGAGCTTAGGTAAGTAAGCTTAAGTGAATAATCAAGAGCAGTAAAAGACGTTGCCAAATATTTGTAAGACGTAAGAAACAGAAGGGGGCAAAAATGACCTGGCATAAGGCAAGAAGACGGGTCAAAATATAATAAGGCAATAACATTTAAATAGAATAGTCAGTGTTTCCTAGTTCTAAAATCTGTTAGTCGAGTAACCATTCTGACAGAAGACAGGAATTATTCCCCACTCAGGACATCACATTACAGAGAACATTAAATATCACAGCAAGCCCTTTTCATCTCAAGCATCTAAATCATTTGACCACATTTTGGTAATTAACAGCTTTCCTCTGCAATCATTTGCCAGCTTTGAGCCTATGTATTAACAGTTGCCACCCACTTGAGTCCACTTCAGCCCTGTCAGTGTGGAGCAGGAATGCTAAGGCATGACTGGCTGCTGTGGAGATGCCACCATCTTCCACCCTGGATCCCTCTCCCTCTACCATATAAGCAATAAACTAGAAAAAATAAAAGAATTCATCTATGTTACTCATGGCTACTATATTTCCCCAGCATGTAACACTGAAGAAGCAATGCTATACTTTTTTTTTTTTTTTTTAAGACGGAGTCTCACTCTTGTTGTCCAGGCTGGAGTGCAGTGGCACGATCTCCCGGGTTCAAGTGAGTCTCCCGCCTCAGCCTCCAAAGTTGCTGGAATTACAGGCACCTGCCACCATGCCCAGCTAATTTTTGTATTTTTAGTAGAGAGAGGGTTTCACCATGTTAGCCAGGATGTTCTCAATCTCCCGATCCCGTGATCCACCCGCCTCAGCCTCCCAAAGTGCTGGAATTACAGGCATGAGCCACTGAGCCCGGCCTATTCTTACTTTTAATAAAGGCTCCTGTACAACCTGTTTTCAAAGTCTACTCTACCCTGTAGGTGACCCATAAATGGTAACTCAAAGAGTCCAAACTGGACTGCAAGTGTCAAATGAAGCTACTACTATTGGAAGAACTATAACTATCCAAGTTCATGAATATGTGCTTTAAATAGCCAAATACTTCACTTTTTAAATATATGAGTACAAAGTTCCTTTCCAAGAACTCTTACACTGCAAAATTTGCTGTACTGCAAAAAAGTTCTCTACTTCAAAATCTAAAACAATTAGAGAGGGCACTGACCTGAACAATTTTTGGCCTTTGAAGGAAAATCTCAGCAGGAAAGTCTTGCATGATAACGTCCTTCAGTAGTTCACAGGTGTTCCAGATTAAAGTGTGGTTACTACTTCTTAAAGAGCTACAAAACACAGTGTTAATCATTTTTAAGAAGAGTTCATCTGTTCCAGATTCTAAGGAGCCTACTGACACGACAACTCCATCAACAAAGCTTCAGGTCTCAGCTGAGATATCATTTCTCCAGAATAGCCTTCCTAGATCTTTTCCCTAACCAATAAACAACTCTAGGGCAGTGCTTCTTCCACTGTCCATTATTCCATGATAATGATAATTTCAATGATAATTTTGCATTCCCCCCGACCCTCTTCAAGAGCAGGAACTACATCATACTAACCACTGTACCCACAGAGATTATCAAAAGGCTACAAAATGAGTTCACTGAGGTCAAAGAGCACAGAATTCTAGAAAATCTACCAAATAAATTAAGAAATGAGACAGAATAAACAATAAATACAGAGGTAAATTCTAAGAATTAAAGTCCTTACTGATCTTGCCTACTCAAGGTGAATCAGATTAGGACTCCCCTCCTCTCCCACACAAAGGACACCTATTGACTCCACCCACTTAGGATTGGCAGTTGTTCACTCCCCACCCCAAAAAAAGCACACTCCTTCTCTCAGCCCAGTTCCATTACACTGTCCACCATTCACCATGCAGAGGCAGGCATTAAAAATTACCGCCATCTCTGCTTCAGGGACTGACTCAAAACTGAGAGACCAGACAACCTCCTAATCCTTTCCTGTGTGCACTCAATGTCTTCAATATGTTGTTCCAAGAGAATTCACTGATGCTCTTGGAAGTGTCATCATTAAAAATGATTTAATAGCATCCAACTGTAATCTGGCCCTAGCCCTAATAATTGGTCTTTATTTTCCAGATTTATACCCGAAAAAATGCAGACAATTCATGTATTATGGCATTCATGAAACTATGCGAAGTAAATCTGGACATTAAAACACTCTCCAAATTTCCAGATATCAGCTATTTACTCTTGCAGATAGCAATCAATTAACAGTCATTACACCGCATAAGATTGTATCAGTGGTACCCAGCCAACTCTACATGGTATAATTCGCCTCCTAATGAAGCCCACATTTTGAAACATATTCTGCCAAAAATACTACGTTTATGGTTAATTTTCCATTTTTATTAATCAAAGGCATAAGCAGTGGCCAGTAAGAGAATCTGGTCTATAAGAGGAAATTCCTGTCACCAAAGACTATACAAGATTCCAACCACAAAAAGAAACTTGGGCCAGATACAGCAGCTCACATAATCTCAGCAGTTTGGGAGGCCAAGGCAGGCAGATCACCTGAGATCAAGAGTTTGAGACCAGCTTGGCTAACATGGGGGAACCGCATCTCTACTAAAAATACAAAAATGAGCTGGGCATGGTGGCGCGTGCCTGTAATCCAGCTATTCAGGAGGCTGAGGTAAGAGAATCACTTGAACCCAGGAGGTAGAGGTTGCAGTGAGCCAAGAGCCTGCTATTACACTCCAGCCTGTGTGATGGAGTGAGACTCTGACTCAAAAAAAAGAGAAGAAAAAGAAAAAAGAAACTTGATGTGGAAATTGATTAAAAGCAAATAGGAATTTTTCTGGCTTGCTCTTTGAAAAACAAAAATCGTTCAAATATGACCATTAATACCCTTCACAGCCACTAGTATCTTTTCCTGGTAAAACATAGAGTAATAACTATCAAACAATGACTATAAGTGAACAAAAATACCTAAAAATACATCAAGCACTGTACCTTTCATTAGAGGAGAGAACGTGTCTATCTGTGGTGGTCAGGGGTAGCCAAGGAAATATAGAAAACTTCAAACACTTCACAGTCTGATTTACTGTAAATGGAATGGCAAATCTTAAGGTATCAAAGAATAAAGAGATGACAGATTCACAATGTTAAGGGTAAGCTTTCTCTTTAAAATAAGCCCCAAAATAAAGGCTATATCATACAGTAACCTAAAATATACCAAACAAGGTCAGCTGCAAATTTGTTCTATTACAGGATAAATTAGAAAGTTCTCTTTTCATAATTGAAACAGAATTTATATGATATTAAAATAAATATTAGAAGAAGAGCATTAAACACAATCCAATACAGACTGACATACAAAGTTTCAATTAAATTTTCTATTTTACCCTGTGGCTGACCAGAACATCAAGCTTAAATTCAACATAAAAGGAACTGACATTTAGGGAAAACCTCAACTTTTAGAAATTAAAAATGATAAAACATAATGATATACTATGTCTAGTCATGTTTAAATATCCTATATGGTGTCAGGTGTTTTAAATCTCTATGAAGATGACTTGAAGACCGTAAGGTCGAAAAACGAATATCAGTGTTCAAACAAAATTTAAAAAACTCCGAGAAAGCAACACGGTTTTAAACTATCCCCATGCAAGTTATTTTTAACAGATCTTATATAGTACAAGTTAAGGTGGCAACACTGAGAAATAGCATCTACATAAGTCCTTCCAAATGGCAGTCTTTCTGCCAAATGCTTTGAAAAGAGCATGGAATTGCTAAATGTGGATAGCAGTATTATTAAACTCCCAAACATAGCACAGTTACTTCTTTCAAAAGTGCTAACATAAAAGCAGGGTTTACTCTCTAAGGAAATAAGGAGAGGTGGGTGGAGGAAAGGACAAGATTACACCACACAGTAAAAATGTATCCAAAATAAGCCAGACCATCAATCAAGACAAACTGCAACTCACATAAAAGTGTAACAATCTCAATCCCCCTTAATGTTTTCATGGCTTCATTCAGATACCCATCCTTTACCAACCTAGAGACTCCCCCTCCCTTCAGATGTCCCTCATCTTGATGGAATTACACCTCAGCAGTCTGGCCTCAAAAACAAAGCTTGCTACAAGCCTGACAAAACTTTTCAAGAATGCAAAGGTAGAGTTTTCCATTCTTCCTTATGTTAGTCCACCTATGAGTTTCCATGAAAGCTTTTTAATAACAGAGGCTTCCAAATGGAGTTTATTTGAACATGTGACATCAGCAGATATAATCTCGGACACATCCTTTTCATCTTAACTATGCAGGCAGGAAAACGCTAAGTACGTGATTACTTAACTATTTCCTAACTGCCTCTCCAGGGACAAAGTTTTCAACCTTTCTAGTATCAGCGTCTTTACCAGTAAAATGGGGTCACTAATCATACCAATCTCAGAGAGACTCGCAAGGATTCATTCATTCCTTCAAGGATATATATACTGAGTGCCTAATACAATCTGGCATTGTTCCAGACACTGAAAATAAAGCAATGTTCACAGCTATCATCAAACTTCCAACAAGGGAGACAAACAAAGACTAATAATGTGTTAGGAAGAAAACTACACATAAGAAGTGATCATTGGCTAGAATCATCAGGAAGGTCTCTGATGAGGTGGCATGTGAGCTAAGACTGAACATAGCCAGATGGATGGACATGAGATTCCAGATTCCAAAAAAAGGGTTGTAAATTCAAATACTGTAATTAACTGGTGTGAGGAAATGGGAAAAGAAGAAACAAAGATGATCTTCAGTCTCTGGCAGGAGTAACTGGATAGACGATACCATCAGTAAGCTGGAGAACAAATGAGATGACACATGTGAAGTGCATGGCACAATACCTCAAATAATTTACGTTTAGGCTGGGCGCGGTGGCTCACGCCTATAATCTCAGCACTTTGGGAGGGCAAGGCAAGTGGATTGCCTGAAGTCAGGAGTTCGAGACTAGCCTGACCAACATAGTGAAACCCTGTCTCTACTAAAAATATAAAAAATTAGCCAGGTGTGGTGGCAGGTGCCTACAATTCCCAGCTACTTGGAGGCTGAGGCAGAAAAATCACTTGAACCAGGGAGGCAGAGGTTGTGGTGAGCCGAGATCCTGCCACTGCACTCCAGCCTGGGCAACAAGAGCAAGACTCTGTCTCAAAAAATAATAGCAATAATAATTCATGTTTAGCAAGCACAAAGCACTACTGCCACTACTCCCATCTATCTACAGAGTTGCTCAAATATGGTTAGAATAACACAAAATTTTACCATTTAGTCTCGATAGCCTAAACTAACTTGAAACAACTAAAACACGTGACAGTAGTTTGGTGCTGAAACATTTAACTTTGGTAAAAAGACATCTTCACCATAATGAAGAAAAGTCCATTAATTTTCAACTGACCAAGTCAACAGGATTGACTTCCCTACATATACACACCCACTGGTCGTGGCGGCACTTCCATCTGCTGGTAATTACTTTTATCTTGGGGAAAATATCCTTTTAAGATTTCAGGATTTTTTGATAATTCTGAAAAGAAAATAAACATTAGTGCATTCTCAATTCCTTATTTGCTAAAAGTGAACCTTACTTTCTTTAAATAGTAATGTTCTCTCTTAAGTATTGGAATCATTTTTAAAACTTTTTTTAAAAAACTCAGCTTTTTTTCTCTGAATGACCTTTCGCCCTAAAGAGGAAAACATGTGCACATCGAGTCAATTTCCAATGAGGCGCTTTCTCCCACTCTCACTTTCACTGTTAGCCAAACACAGCTATTTGTTAGAATGTACACAAAAAATGTGCTACAAAGTATTCAAGGACTATTCCTCTACCCTTCCTAATCCATCGCCCTCTCCCTTTACTCCAATTATATAGTTCCTCATCACCTCCATTTTCATTCATACCTTTAAAAAAAGTTGCCAAAAACAAAGGAGTCAAACATTATTTTTCAAATACCTTTATCCCTGTAACATAAGATTATACATTCAGCAGTTCAGCTCCAATGAGAATGAGGAAAAGACCAAAACTATCATCTGTAATTTTATGTTTGATGTTTTCATGCCAATAGTTCCTCAGACTAATAAAGAAAACTAACAGCCTCCTAAACCATTCCTCTACTCTCACCTGCAAGGAATCAGATTAAAAACTCACAATGTAGGATTCCACTTTATCTGTGATGTCTTAGAAACTGTAAAATATATTGTTAGAGATCACAGGTTTGGGAGCCAGATAAAGCAATGTTAGAATCCTGCATCTGCCACAGATGAGAAAACTGGGTGCTTTGGGGCAAGTTACTTTATGTTTTTCTTCTCAGCTATAGGGTAAGACTAATAACATCTCAGTCAAAGAGCTGTTTTCAGATCCAACAAGATGATGTATTTAAATCAGGTTATTCAAAGCCCCACAAGAAAACTCAGTAAGTGACAGCTGCTATTGTTGTTGTGAACAGCAGTATCCACAGCTGAAGCTGTAACAATCCTGGTAATGGTAGAAAAGAAAATATGGTCTAACAGATAAAGCACCAAAACTTTTTTTTTTCCTTTTACTACTCAATCACAAAAACTGCATGAGCATGTTTTTCTTCCAATCAATTAAAATCCATTTCTCGTGCAAGGCACTATCCTGGACGTTAAGAACAACACAACAATAACAGCCAATATTGCTTCGTTTAATATAGTCCGGGCCCGATGCTAAGCGCTTTACAAAAGACACTGTCTTATTCCATCTTCATGACAATTCTATGAGAAAAGTGTTCTTATTATCCCAATTTTTAGATGAGAAAACTGAAGCCTGGAGGGGTTAATTACCTTAGCCAAGGTCACACAACTGGCAGCAAAACTGGGACTTAAATCCATGTCTCTTTGCCTCAGATTTTAACTAGTATATCATAAAATACTAGTTAAAATAACTAGTATGGACTGCAGCATATAAATATACTTTATTATGTCATTTTTGACTGGTCCCCACTGCAAAATCATGAGCTAGGACAGATATTATTATACTCCAGTATGAAGAACAAGGTCAGAAATACAAACATAAAGCACTAGGAACAATGTCTGCACATGAGCGCTCAAAAACATGCTGCTATTGTCAAAGAAATAATCTGTCACAACGATCTCATAAAAGCAAAGTCACTGGCATCCTTTAGGCCTGCCCAAACAAGCAATTAATGCAAATGCACCATCCTTTGACTAACAGTAGAGGAAGGGGAAAAGGTCAAAATCATTTAAGTCAACACAAGAAAAATAAGTTTGAGGAAGGTGGGAGAAATCCTTTTTAAAAAATATCTAATGTCCCTTTCCTTAAAATTTACCATTAGAATCAACATACTTATACTTTAAAATAGTCCATCAAATTAATTCCAAAGAGTTACCCATTTGATTGGTTTGGTATGAGGCGGAAGATAGTGCAGGAACTTCCGAAGGAAGAATGAAAAGTCCATCCAGAATGCCGTCAATTTCAGCCTGCAGATTTGGCTCCACGTTAGATCGAAGCTTAGATAAGAACTCCACTGCACCAAAATCAACCAAATGTTGGACTGCTGGGGGATACTAAAATAAAGAGAATAACCATATCAAAATCCCTAAACTTTAACCTTCAGTAATCAAAACATGAAATTATTTGGGGTATACCAGATGTTCCTTTTTTGAAAAAAAAAAAAAAAAAAAAAAAAAAAATTCATGGCTCTGCCCCAAAGTAAGGCACTTCCATAAGGAGCACATACACCTACAAAGACATATATACAACACTTGACAACATTTATGGAAGATAAGCCAACACACTGCACACTAGAAATGCACACTATCAATCCCTACTCTTATTTTTTAAATTAGTTACTTTTTTCCACTGACGCTCACCTTCTGGTCCCACCCACAATCGGTCAACAGGATGTCAAAGTAGTAAGATTCCTCTACCATTGTACAGTGATTTCGTTTTGAAAGGTTAAACTTACACTTTGGTATCTGACCCGGACAACTACCTACTGTTGAGGTAGTATAAGAATACAAATCTAAAAGCATACGGGAAAGCAACTTAACATGGATATTTATGAATCATGGTTACGTAACATCACTTTTAAACGTGCTCCCTTTCATACTGACACATCTAATTGTTAAGATGTAAATATCAGAAGACAGGTACAGAATACAAATAGTAACCTCCAAAGACAACTCCAAAAATCAGAACGTAACAAAACTCAAAAGAAGTTCTGTGTTACTTCTGAGCACAGCAGAGACCACGTGGGATTCAATATCACATCACATATCAAAGATGAGCAATATATACCCAGATGAATTAAAATTCAACCTCTATGGTTGTTAAAAAATAAATTAATTTATTTAAAAAATGAACTTTTAACCCCAGTTATTTAACTTTCAATAGCGTTACAGTTAAATGACTACGAAACGGTCCACTCGTCTGATTATTTTCTTTATTTAGAAATGATCCTACCTTAACCAATCTGCTTAACAAGTTGAGAACCTCTTCCTTCATTGGAACGGACGGGAAATTGAACCATTCCAGCAGATGAAGAAAAAGTTGCCTCTCCTGAATGAGATCAGCGTGGCAGATTAAGTTGTGCTCAATCTTGCAGAGAATACTCTTGAGAGCGCGCTCCCTGATCTCGGCCAGCTGATGACCTGTCAACGCACAGCACAGAAAAATGTCCCGACTGCAAAGAGACGCCTACCCAGACTTTATTCTAAAACCACGTTACTTATGTTGTGGGCAGGAGCGGCGTGAAGACGGAATAAAACAGCTTTTTCAGAGGCAGGCCGCTGGTGCCATCACGACGGGAACCGCGGAGTTTACACAAAGTCCGAGATGGGTTCCCGGGGGTTACCCTAGCAAAGCGGGGGCGAAAGAGGGAGCAGTCGCGGGATGACCGGCCGCGGAAACGTGACACAACCATTCTCAGGAAGTGACCAGGACAGAAAGGTGCCTTGGGAGAGGGGCAAGCTGAAAGTTACCGAGTTTCCTGATGAGCCCCGCCGGGACCATCTCGTCCCCTTAACCTGCCGCCGCCGGAGAATTAAACAGCCGCGCCACTGCGTCCGGCCACAATTAATGTCCTCCGGAAACGCGGCCAGTGGGACGGTGGGTTCCGCAATGCCTGCGCTCAGCAGGAGAAAGAGACATTCCGTGAGCCGTTCACAGCCCTGGCGTCGCCAGGTGAGCTTACGGCCTCACTAGAATCACTACTGCGCGCTTCCTGGACAGCAGTCTTCGTCGCAAAAGGGGGAAGAATAAAGCAACAGGCAAGGGGTAGAACCCGCGTTGGCCGCCGCGCACGTCGGGAGTTGTGGTCCTGACTGGGCCGTGCTACCTGCACGGAGCTCCGGGCCGGCGGCGACGCCCGGAGGCCTGGCGTTCCGGCTTTCAGCGCGGGAATTCCGGCGCTCAGCGCGGGCTGCAGAGGCCCCGGTAGGAGCCCCGCCCACCTGCCCCGCCTCCTCGCTCGGCAACGGATTCGTTCCGGGCCCTGCCAATCTGGTTCTCAGCTCCCAGAACTTCAAGGTTTAGAAGGTAGACTTCTGCTTTGTGGCAGTTCTCCCCATCCCCGACTACTAAACGAGGCACTCTAACTGAAATGTACCTCCAAAGTCAAGCAATGCCTTTGGATATCCAAGTTCAGATATGCACAAGCGAGCTGCAAAAGCTGGGTGGGCGGGTGTGAGTGAGCCGTAGAGAGAAAGGGGGCTGCAAAAAGAAAGAAAGGCGGGGCGGGGGGGTGGATTTGTTGAATGCCACCAAAGTTGATTTTTTTTGCACCGCGCACAGTGATCGAGCTAAACAAATTCTTTTTAAAAAAATTCTAAGCAACGGTAAGAAAAACAACAAAAATACATTTGTATTTTGGAGAGCATTTTCTCGCCCTGATCGTTTCACTTTTCCTGGGAAAGGGATGTCAAGGCAGGTAAAGTGGGCCCTCGGTATCTCTAGGTAACTGGTTCCAGGACCCCGGCAGATACCCAAATGCACCCATGCTTAAGTCTCTCTTACAAAATGCTGTAGTATTTGCATATAAACTACACACATCCTCCTGTATACTTTAAATCATCTCTAGATTGCTTACAATACCTAATACAATGTAAATGCTGTGTAAATAATTGTTACACTGTACTTTTTTTTTTTTTCTTATTTTTTTATTGCATTTTAGGTTTTGGGGTACATGTGCAGAGCATGCAATACAGTTGCATAGGTACACACATGGCAGTGTGTTCTGTTTGCTTTCACCCCTTCACCCACATTTGGCGTTTCTCCCCAGGCTATCCCTCCCCACCTCCCCCTCCCACTGGCCCTCCCCTTTTCCCCCCAATAGACCCCAGTGTTTAGTACTCCCCTCTCTGTGTCCATGTGTTCTCATTTTTCATCACCCGCCTATGAGTGAGAATATGCGGTGTTTCATTTTCTGTTCTTGTGTCAGTTTGCTGAGAATGATGTTCTCCAGATTCATCCATGTCCCTACAAACGACACGAACTCATCATTTCTGATTGCTGCATAATATTCCATGGTGTATATGTGCCACATTTTCCCAATCCAGTCTATCATCAATGGGCATGTTTACAATACACTGTACTTTTTATCCATATAATTTTTTACTGTTGTATTGTTATTTTCAATTGTGGGTTTTTTTCCCCTGAATATTTTCATCCCCTGTGTGTTGAATTCTTTGTGGGAACTGGTGGACTGCAAAGGCCTACTACTGTATTCCCATTCCTATTTTGCCAATGAGAAAACTTAAAATCACAGAAGTACCCCCACACAAAGTCACATTAACTAGTGAGTGACGGATTGAGAACCTGACCTCATGTTTCTTTGTTCTATTCATAGTACCTTGCTGCCTCCTCACGTGTGTAGATAAGAGAGTGCTGATCATTGAGTTGGATCTTAAAGACTAAGTAGGAGTTTGCCATACAAAGAAGTTGGGTAAGGGAATTCCTGCCAGAGAAAACTGTATTTGAAAAGGCAAGAATTCAGAGGGAGTGTGTCAAATTCAGGAAAAGTGCAAAATTCAAGGTGGCCATATTACCTCTGGGAAGAAAGGAGGAAGGGCAAGAGAGCTGCTAGCCATGCTGGATCTTCTCCATTCTGCCTTCTGGTGGTTCCTCCCAGCTCTTCCAGCTCTGCAGCAACTGAACTGAATAGGCCAAAAGACTGCACTATCCTGGCTGCCTGGCCCTCTGGCTTCCAGTTGGCTGCCACCAATAGGAGACATCAGCAGGAAATTGGAGAGTAGGAGGAAAGAGATGTGGGTATGAAACCAAGATTCCACTAGCCCATGCCTAAGCCTGCCTGGCCAAGATTGTTAACAGGGGCTGAATTCCTTGACCCAAAGACCACAGCTCCTGATGGGTAGTATACCACAGTGGGCGCTGCACAGTACCAGTTACACCAGCTCAGAAGTGTCCGTAGTTACCGAGGAATGAAGGTGTTAATTATGAATTTGAAGTGTCAAGGTCAAAAAACCCATGACAGTAGGGAAAAATAGTAGAAATAACTTGTCAATGATATTTCTGAGATGAACAATCTTAGATGATGAGAGACTGTAAATGCAGTGGGTAAGGGGCAGTGATACTGTGGAAGAAACAAAAAAAATTGACTTAAAACAAGCATGTCACAAGTAAAATGGGGGTCAAACTATGAAAGGGTTTTATTAGTGTTGCACACAAGGGCAACACAAATATTTTATTTTCTTTTATTTTCATTGCTGAGCATATATAGCTCTTATATTTAAACAAAAATAATTAAATCCCATTCATTACACTCAAAGCAAATAAGTTGTCTATCATTCTCCTCTTAGACTATTGATTTGGCAATTTTTCCTAAAGAAAATCAACCTTCAATTTATTAATTGAAAACACACACACATACATTCTAGTGTATTAACTGCATTTTTTTTTTTTTTTTTTACCAATTACTTTCCTCTTTCTACTAGGCTGGAGTGCAGTGGCGTGATCTCTGCTCACGGCAACCTCCTTCTCCTGGGTTCAAGTGATTTTCCTGCCTCCACCTCCCGAGTAGCTGGGATTACAAGCATGCACTACCATGCCCAGCTAATTTTTATATGTTTAGTAGAGACAGGTTTTTGCCATGCTGGCCAAGTTGATCTCAAACTGCTGGCCCCCAGTGATCCTCCCGCCTTGGCCTCCCAAATTGCTGGAATTACAGGCATGAGCAACCACACCCAGCCTGCATCCTTCTAAGTGTGTTTTTTCTTTTTTTTTTTTCTTTAACTTTTTAAGCTAAAGGTTTTGTTGTTTATATTCTTTCTTTTTTAGTTATAGAGAATTTTAAATTCATGAATTTGCATGTAAAAAAAATTTTAATCATGCATCATGAATTTCAATTTATAAGGTTTTATTGTTCTCAACCAATCTGAAACTGCTATTTTGATACTTTCTGTTTCACCTGAGAGCCATGTAGGAAGGTGGTCTTTAATCACCAAGTCTTTCAGTGAACTTGAGACACAATGGGCAATAGATGTCTGTGGGGATGTACAGAAAACTGTATGTGGTTTTCTTCTTGTATTTACAATGGTTTTTGTTGTATTTATTTAAATGCTGTGTATGAAAACATGTTCAATTTTATGTGTTGATAAATGATGGTGATATATACATGGATTGGGAAAGAGGTCAAGAGTTGATCATACCACTGCACTCCAGCCTGACGACAGACTGAGACTCTTGTCTAAAGAGAAAAAACAAAAACAAACAAAAAATAATAATACCTACTAATAGGACTGTCTGAGAGCCAAAGAAGATAATTTAGAGAAAGCATTTGTTCCAGGACCTCCCATAATAGGTGGTTACTACAAATAATAGCTCTGTTTGAACACCTGTCAAACTTGGAGGTACCTCCCTTTCTAGGGATCAAATGCAATGTCAAACCAGGTTCAAGTACAATCTGTGAGTGTAACTACATGGTAGATGCTCCTTTCATCAAGTGTTCTTAGGCCCCAGAAACAACGTTGCTACATAAGTGATGGAGGCTTGAAGAGCGGAGGTGCCCACGACCTTACTGCCATTCATTTCTGCAGCCGTATCCAAACATTTCCAACAACAGAAAAAAAGGGGGTGGCAGCACACTGATCCCTTTTTTCCTCGTTTTTCGGAGGAGAGAGATTATTGACCCAAAAGGGAAATCCTTTTACAACCTACTTTTACATTAACTGGGATCCCAATTTCTTTATGAAAACATCATGTAAAAAGAGCAAGCCTGCGGGATTCCTAAACAAAGGGGGCTGAAACCAATACATGTGTAGAAGTTATTCATTGTCCCCAAGGCAGGCATGTGCTTTGTGTGTCTTCCAGGAAAGTCACTGGCACCGGCCTTGCTTCTTTCAGAGTAAAGCACATGATTTATTAATAATTCTGAGCTCTAGGAAGGAAAAATGGCCCCAGGTTTCATTCCTCCTTTACAAATTTTCCTAATCATGCCCCATAACTTTGTCCTATGAATTCACATGATACTTAATTTTTAAGGCGATCGTCAAATTCTAATTTATTCTCTCAATACCAAAATAGAAAGTTAATACATATTTTATGCCATTTTAAAGTGGAAGGATTGAAAGAAGATATATTCACATTCCATTTCAATTAGAGCAACATAGATTTGAGCCCTGATTTCTTTTCACAATTTCCTAAATGGTTGTCTTAATTATAAAAGGGGAGAAGCAGATAAAGTTGTCTACTTTCAACACATCTATTCAGCATTGTACTGGAAGTGTTATCCACAGTAACTAAAGGAGAAAAAGAAATAAAATGTATCCAGATTTGAAAAAAAGAAAATTTATATATGTAATTGACATCACCTTATATATAGAAAATCCTGGCTGGGTGCAGTGGCTCATGCCTATAATCCCAGCACTTTGGGAGGCTGAGGCAAGTGGATCACCTGAGCTCAGGAGTTTAAAACCGGCCTGGACAACATGGTGAAACCCCGCCTCTACCAAAAATACCAAAAATTAGCCAGGAGTGGTGGCATATGCCTGTGGTCCCAGCTACTTGGGAAGCTAAGGTGGAAGGTGGGAGGATTGCTTGGAGGTTGCAGTGAGCTGAAATAGCACCACTGCACTCCAACCTGGTTGACAGAGTGAGACCCCATCTCATAAAAAAGAAAAAAAATCCTAACATATGCACAAAGAAACTATTCAAGCAAAGAAAAGATTTTAGCAAGATTGCAGAATGCCAGATCAACATACAAAATCAATTATTTTTCTATACACTAGCAATAAACAATCCAAAAGTCAAATTTAGAAATAATTCAATTTCCAATGACATCGAAAATAATAAAATACTTAGAAATAAGTTTAACACAGTAAAATGAAAGACTTCCACACTGAAAATTATAAAACATTATTAAAAGCAATTAAATATTATTTAAATAAAT